TTATACTCCTGCTATGAGTGAAACCATCCGGTATTTTTCTTTCTCTTTCTGGCTTATCTCACTCAGCATGATCTTTTCCAGCTCCATCCAAGTTGCACACAGCGAAACTTTTAACCCTCATAACAGTCCTGCATGGAATTCTGTGCCCATTTTACAGATGAGAAATTGGGGCTCAAAAATTCCAGATGCTTGCCTAGGCTTACACAGCAAGGGATCAGGGCTGGCGTTAAGTTTCTTCTACCATAGGAAGCTGCTGTCACACCAGAGCAAGGGCAGCTGCCCAGCTCAGCCTGGTGCGGTAAGCATGGTGTGTGTGTGTGTGTGTGTGTGTGTGTGTGTGTGCGCGCGAGGGGTGGAGGGGTCAGGAAGCAAGGAGTAGTGGCAGCGTCTGGACGGGTACTGGTGCCCTTGGAGCTGTGCTGGAGCTGACTAGGGGGACGCCCGCTGCGTGTGTGCATGCAGACTCTGGTGCTCCAAGAACTCCTGAGCCTCTGGGCTTTGCAGTTGAGGCAGCCAGTCCTGCGCCCCACACAGGACACGCATCTGGTCCGCGTGAGCGGAGGAAGGTGGGTGGCAAGCTACTGGCTGTCCATGGAGGTAGCACAGGAATAGGGCACCTGTGGGTACAGGCCCTGGCTTTGACGGATGGCTCCAAAGTGGCAGCGGCAGCCCCCTCTTGCACAAGGTGAAGCCCATGCCCCCAGGAATGGAAGCAGAAGCCCTTTTGTGCAAAGCCCCCCACCCCACTAACCTTTATCCCCTGAGGAGGCTGACCAACTCCACCCTTCTTTTCCTTTGCAGATGGTAGGTCTCCATGCTCCCTAGCCGAGGTGGCCTTCTGCTCTGGCGTGCCAGCCTCCAGGACTACCTCCCCTCCTCACAGGAGTCTCTGCTCTGTGTGCTCAGAGCCTTCCACCTGTCACCCAGCAGTGCACTCACATTGTTTGTCTGTCTCCTCCCTCCACCCCACACCAGTAGTGATCAAGAATCAGGAGAATATTCGATGTCTCTGTATCTGGTCCCAAGGGAGCAGAGGTGCATGGCTGTGGTGGGGCACAGGTCTGCTCCTGAGCCCCCACTGCAGTGTGTCCGCAGGAGGTGGAGGGAAGCCGCTGCCCCTCTCCTGGCAGCCAGATTGAGAGGCCCACACCCTGCAAGCTTTCCACTGCTAGAATGGATGGGCTTGGGAGCCAGGTTTTTTTGCCCCTGGCCTCACAGCCAGGATGGGAAGAAATTGGGGGCCTTCCTCTGGCAGCCACAGTGGGGCTGGAGCCTGGGATGCCAGGCCTGTCACCTTGGCAACAGCTGCTCCTGGGAAGCCACAGTTGGGGGGTATGAAGCAGCCCCTCCCCCATGCAGATGCTGCCTGGGAGAGAAGAGGCCTCTTGGGCTGCCTGCCCACCCACCGGGCTTTGTCACTCGATCCCCCTCTTTACAAAGGCGGAACAATACCAGAGGCCTCACTGAAAGGGAGACTATGAGGAGGACCCAGCGGGCTGGAGGAGGAAGATTACCATCAATGCCACACACACCCCCCTTCCTGCTCCGCTGGGCAGAGGGGGCCTGAGATGGGTGAGCTGGGAACAGAGCCCCTCTCAACTCCTCCTCCCAAGGGAGAGGCCTCCTTCCTGGGCCATGGCCGTGAACACCGCGCTGTCCTGCACCACTGGGACCTGTGTAGCTCACCGCCCTCTGGTGTCCTCCATCCCCACACTCCCAGGACCCTTCTCACCACTTCCTCTCTAGTGATAGCCACTACTCACCCCACCAGACAGGCTGCATCAAAGCTGGCCCTGTGCCAACCCCTCCTGGGCCAACCCCTCCTGGGCCAACCCCTCCTGGGCCAAGCCCACCTCTGTGCCTTGCAGCCACCACACTGTGCCTGCCCGCACACAAGCCTGGGAGCTTCTGGAGGTCAAGGGACAGGCCTGCCTCTGAGCACCTGGCCTGGAGGAGGGGCCTTGTTGAATGAAAAGAGTATCTTCTGGGAGAGGCTAAATGCAAGTGGGGGCTGGGGCGGGGTGTTGGTTGGATGCTGGTGGACTAGGTGTCTGTGGGAAGACAGGACCAGAAGGAAGACAGTCCTCCAGAGGGGTGTGGCAGTGATGGGACCCAGCAGGTACGTGGACACACCTGCTCCTGGCAGAGCAGGTATGGAGGGGTCCTGCTGCCTGGCAGCTGGCAGGGGTAGGAGGGGGGCGGTCCTGGGGTGGGGGGAGCCTGAGGCATGCAGGGTGTGTGGACACACACCAGGGTGTGTGCAGAGGCCTGGCTGTTCCTGCGTGTGTGCACACATGCCCATTTTAGGCAGGCGCGGTGACACCTGTGGTGGGCTCGGGCCTGGGCCCTCATCCACAGCTTGGTTCTCACTTAGTTTCCCTTGATGGGGACCTTGCAGGCTGGACTAGGTTGCTTCACGCTTATGAAAAAACAACAACAACAACAACAGTATTTCTAAAATTCCTTATTGGGGCTTTTGCAACTGTCGCAAGTAATTCAACATTAGAAATGAAAGTAATCATTTCCCCTTTTCCTTCTGCTCCCAGCCCTAAGATCGTCCGTACTAAAAGCTCAGCCATGTTAAAAGCTCAGGCTTTTAATTACTCTGCTTTTTATTCTGAGACCTTACAAGCACATGCACATATATTGTATGTCTTTTATTAAAAGAGAATCAGGCCCTCCCTGGTGGCGCAGCGGGTTAAAGCACAGCACTAAGAAGCTA